GAGAATTATCGATGTTTCTTCATAACCTAGTCAAATTTATAATTACTAAATGACACATATTTGGCCTCCTCTTTCATTTAATGCAACTGATATGATGCATATTTCACGCATGAGTAATTGAAATGAATTTGAAGAGAGGAAACCAAAAAGTCATTTGGCGGACGGTATCTGAATTTCAAAGAGAAAATCACATTTCTAGAAAATTGGGGTTCTGCCCTTTCATACGACACCTCGATTAGGAAAAATGAGTAAGGAATGACAAAGTTCTGTTTGTTTAAAGTAGTGCTTGCATTTCCATAATTTTATCAAACGAATTCGTCTTCACTGGGTGCCTGCCATAACAACATGCAGAATTGACAAAATTCGTTGACTATCAGCCATGCATGAAGTCTTTCGTCTACGGCTGATTGTCAACGAAATGGAGTTAAGTCTTTCGTCAACTCTGTTTGTTGCTACGGCAGGCACCCAGTAAAAACGAGTTCGTTTGATGAAATTATGGAAATGCAAGCACTACTTTAAACAAACAGAACTTTGTCATTCCTTGCTCATTTTTCCTGATTGAGGTGTCATATGAAAGGGCAGAAACTCAACTTTCTAGAAATGTGATTTTCTCCTTGAAATTCAGATACCGTCCGCCAAATGACTTTTTGGTTTCCTCTCTTCAAATTCAATGTAATCACTCATGCGTGAAATATGTATAATATGAGTTGCATCAAATGAAAGAAGAGGATCGAAGCTTTCCCAATATGTGTAATTTATCAATTATAAATGTGATTAAGTTATGATAGAACATCGATAATTCTTGGTTTCGTTTTTTCTTGGATGCACTGTATATAGATATACGTGTGAGTCAAAAAAAAGTTTACACCTAGAAAATTGCTAATTATTTTTAAAATAATCTATGAACGGTAAATTATTATACATCTTATGAAAGAGTGTTTTATCCCAAATCACTTGGTACCATTTTTGTGTGGTATGTGTTCAAGCTTGAATGAACAGGAGGCATTGTTTGCGAGAGTGCAAAAATCGACTTGCGCCAAAGTGATGCCTATGCAGTATGTATTATGTTGGGATTAGCGAAGTGATAGAGTGAAATGAATGTATCAAATGAAATGCATTGCATATGCATTTTGCAAAGGGCAAAGTCACACGCACATACACACACCCTCACAAATGTTCGTTGATATTTGATATTCGATATTTGATATGTGTGGCATGATTAATTTTGTTAGGGATGTAAGCAACTTTGGCGCAAGTCGATTTTTGCACTCTCGCAAACAATGCCTCCTGTTCATCCAAGCGTGAACACATACCACACAAAAAAGGTACCAAATGATTTGGGATAAAACACTCTTTCATAAGATATATAATAATTTACTGTTCATGGATGATTTTAAAAATAATTAGCAATTTTCTAGGTGTAAACTTTTTTTTGACTCACACTGTATATATCTCTGTCTCTCTCCCTCCCTTATTACCCCTCTCTTCTTTCTACCTCTCATCCTCCCTACCCTCCTCCCTCACCCTCTCCCCCTCCCCATTCTCTCTCTCCCTCTCTTCCTCCCCTCCCCTCCTTTCTCTCTCTCTCCCTCTCCCCTCTCTCTCTCTTTATCTATATGTGTATTTTATTATCAATGACATTTTCACGCTAATCACATAATTGTTTCTCTTTTTAAAGATCCGCTAGATTGTGTGCCGTCTTGCCGATGTGCTGCTTACAATGTATCTTGTGAAGGTCCTGCCATTGTTGATGATACCAACATTAGAAAATCAACACGAAATCTGTAAGTTGGAGGGGAAAATACATTTTAGAATTTTCGCTATCCTAAATTTTTAATTCTCAAGCAATATGAGAAGACAACTAGCAATAACCACACGTCGTGTGTCCAGACAGGTTGGTTATTTAGACTGCTGATTTGAAACATCATTTTGAAGAAGTTTACATACAATGATGTTGGACAGTATTTAAAGAAACATGATGGTTTGGGCTATTTGATCATCTTTTTCGTTAAATCCAAAGGCACAAGTGACAGCTTTATATGTCTTAAGCCACCTTCTTTCTTCTTCTTCTCTTTCTTCTTCTTCATCTTCTCCCTTGCAGATCTTTCTTTGGGGAATCGATCAACGGAAGGAAGATGCCATTATCGATGCCATTCAAACTGACAACATATCCGCTTTTAAAACTATTGTAAGGAACACAAAGCTAGCACTGAGTAAAATATCCATTATAGAATTTCAGTATTTTTAGTATATATATATAAAAGTATATTCATATATGTAATCATAGCAAATGGTGTACACTACTTATTCTTAACTAGCCCCCCAAAAGACAGAAGCCAGACCAAGTAAAATATCTTTTTGTATATATTTTTTTAATTAGCAGCTTATCCTGAACACGTCAGTGCTATATGTTCATGAATAACAATGACAATATATTGAACTTTGGTAACCTCAAAACACAGAACGATAATACAAAAATCCACGTACGGCTGCCATTATAGCGCTCTAGCATTTAGGTAATTAATTCCTTCCAGGTATCAATTTACCTCTCCTGGTGGTGTGTGGTCAATGTAGATTATAGCCAAAGGACATCGGTACTGGGACAGGGATTTCAACCCCGTACCTTGAGGTTCACAGTCCGAAAACTTATCAAATGGACAACGCCACATCTAAAATACCGATCAGTGCTTAGCCAATGACATTTATACATGTATGACCTTTAGTTCGTATTAAGTGTTCTTGAACATCATCTTTCAGAAAGAAAAAAAAGAAGAAAAAAGGTGATTTAATATCCATGAACAACAGATATGACATCAGCAATACTTTGACAATGACAATATATGACGGGCACTACACAACCACGAAGAATCGTTAGAGAAGCATTTTGGGGGTTCAGGGTTTATTCCGAAAGAGGAGATTCTCAGCTTCAAAATTGTATTATACTACTCATTACAATTTGATATCCTTAAAATAAGAATGTCCGGTTCCAGAGAATGTTAATTAAGAGAAAGGGGTGTTAAGAGTATGTTGTTTATTTGAGCACTCTGACTCCCAAGGTCTGGTGCAAGGCGACGAAAGGAGGAATAAAACTCTTTAGAAATATCTAGAAAGGGGCAGTCATGTTGTCCTAAAACTTGGCGCACTAGTTAAAGGTAAAGACCAGTATTGGTAACGCCCCAATTTCAAAAAATGAAATGGAAGCTCTCATTACCAATCATGTGAAAGAATATGTTTTACCTAATACATGATGATAAAAAATTTGCCGGGAAACCGCCTACTAATTCATATATTTGGTAAATTTATTTCTCTCATGGTCGTGTGAGAGAGATAGGGTAGTCCCATATACATCTTTCTGTGTATAGTGCTTGTAACTTTACGAAGAATGGGCCAAATTTCTTATCATTTTGATGATTCCAGAACCTTGCAGATGCTAGATGCTAGATGATCAACCTTTTCTGATCGATTCCACAACGTTTCTTTCACAATGCAATCGCATGACCATTACTGGTCTTTACCTTTAAGATAATCCTGTCCTTTATTTCCTCAAGGGTTCAATGTAATAGCTTATTCTGTTTTACAGTTGCTGAAGGTCAAAATAAGATCATTCCTAAATAAATCAAAATTAGTAGATTTACAACAAACCCAGAAGAAGAAAAAACATAATTCTACAAAATACTGCCAAAATACCACTTTTAAATTATTTTGTTCTTTCAAATGTTGAAATTACATAACAAAAACAAGTATACTCTTTCATGCAAAGGGTGGCAAACTTAACTATTACCATCCTGACCGAATACACCTTTATTGAGTTATAATTGAAAACCAAACTATGCGAATTCTTTGGTGGTTTTTGGATGTGGAGTCACATCATTTATGTTGATTGTTCTTTTCCTGCATTTAATGCATGTTTTAAAGTAATGAAGGGTTTTGAAAACTGTTTAACTCGGACAAACAATGCAAATAACTAGGACAAACACTTTAAAGTTCAAGAAACTTATTTGACATCTTATATTAATAAGGAATTTCAAATACTTATCTTGTCATGACTTGCAGAAATATTTCCAATACTGGACTAACGGAACTTGTTCGAGCGGACTTCGTGACTCTGACAGAACTCGAAATTCTGTAAGTTGTATAAATGTTTATATTATCATGAATCAATATGTAACTGAAAATAGTTTATAGTCAACTGTAAAGTGAAGGATTCGTAAAAGAAGAAAATTGTAAATGGAAATATAAGTATGCCCAGGGGAATGTGATTATATACAATGATAATAATAACAGCAACAAGAAGAAGAATGATAATAATAATAGTAATAAAACTAATAAAGATAATAGTAATAATAATATTAAAAAGAATAACAATGATACTAATAATAATAATAATAATAACAATACTATATTGACTGCTATGAGAGAGCGCGCCTCGGGGTCATAGCAGGATGAAACATCCCCTTGAGCCTACACAAATAACTATGCCTCGAACTCATTAAAGCAGTCAATATATCTTTTATATACCGTAAAAAGAGTCGAAGAATACATGTGCGACTCACTTTATAAATCATGGGGTCCTCACATTTACAAATTATCATCAAACTGTGCACCAGTAGAACAGGGAAAGCAGAACTGTGCTCCAGTAGAACAGGACAATTTCGCGATCAAATCGCATTGCCATTATGGTATCCGCGCTCGATCTTGTACAAAGCAATATTTTACATATACACCAATGGGGATCGTAGCACAATTTAACTATGCCCGTCTTTTTGCGGGCATAGTAAAAAAAACGCAACTTCACTTTCTACCAATTACATGACAGGATTACGAAAGATTCTTAAAGTAAGGTATACCATAAAAATTATGATATCTACATCTAAACAACAAAAACTGCTAGATCGTAATCAGATGATTGGCCAAACACACACTATCACACGGTGTTTGTTCATGAAAAAGCGTTCCAGTACTATCCAACGGTTTGAGTACAAGATGCATAGCAGTGCGCGATGAGGTTTGTGTGCTTATATTGTGTGTGGGCCAATACTTGAGAGTAGCCCTGCCCGTAAACGCGTATACAGGTTTATAGTGCGATTATATCTTTGTACACGCTACAGTTAGCCTTCTATACTTGTGATTTAAACGTCATTGATAATGACACGAAACCATTTTGAATTGAATTGGTTCTACATCAAAGGTGCATTTTTTCATTCGATTATTTATTAACAATATATCCGCTCTTGTTGAGTCTGTTTATGCCCCGGTTTATGCATCTATTATACTAAGTCTGACGGCTTCTTACGATAGATGCATACAGCCTCAACTCGAATGTGGATGGATCGTATAATGCATCATTTTTATGCTATGTGTGAGTCAAAAAAAGTTTACACCTATAAGGTTGCTAATTATTTAAAAAATCGTCTATGAACAGTAAATTATTATACAAAGAGTGTGTTATCCCAAATCATTTGGTATCATTTTTGTGTGGTATGTGTTCACGCTTGAATGAATAGGAGGCATTGTTTGCGAGAGTGCAAAAATCGACTTGCGCCAAAGTTGCTTTTGTGATATTTACATAAAACAATTGGGATTTGGGTATTAAATCGGTTTTTGCAGATCCAAATAACATCCCTAACAAATTTAATCATGCCACACATATCAAATATCGAATATCAAATATCAACGAACATTTGTGCGCGTGTGTGACTTTGCTTCTGCAAAAAGCATATGCAATGCATTTCATTTGATACATTCAATTCATTCTCTCACTCCGCTAATCCGAACATAGTACATGCTGTAGGCATCACTTTGGCGCAAGTCGATTTTTGCACTCTCGCAAACAATGCCTCCTGTTCATCCAAGCGTGAACACATACCACACAAAAATGATACCAAATGATTTTGAATAAATTACTCTTTTATAAGATGTATAATAATTTACTGTTTAATTATGATTTTTTGAATAATAAGCAGTTTTCTAGGTGTAAACTTTTTTTTGACTCACACGGTATTACGCACATATCTATCCCATGGAATGCTCACGGTGCCTATTGAGTAGGACTAGTACCCTGGCTTTTAATCCAGTTGCCTAGGCCTTGGGCGGTACTAACGTCAATTTCGTAACACACTTCTCCAGATTCATCCCGGTTATCTCATCTTGTTAATTGAAATACATACTACTACTACTATTACTATTGCTAGTAATAACAATTAAAGGTAATACAAAGTTTTGGCATGGGGTCATGAATTTGGTTCAAATGACCATATTGGAAGCATATGCCATCCTACAATATTTAGTGATCGTTGTCGCGGTTGAAATGGAGTCTAAAGTTATGCAATTTTAAATAATAAACTCTTTATGTTGTATAGCTCCCTCTCCAGGTCAAGATATTAATTAAGCTTTAAAACAATGTTTCTTGCCTAAAATCTACCGATTAGCTATTACCATTTGGAAATTATGTATCACAACTACATATTCTGAAATGTTCATGATCGCAGCTGCCATTGAACGGCCGTAGGCGCTATTTGAAATTTATCAAAATTTACCGGGAGCACCGGTAAATTTTTATATTGAAATGTTCTCGAAAGCAGAAGTGTTTAAGGGGCTAATTTTTCTAGAGCTTATAAAACATCCACAGGGGCATCCAAATATATCAAAATTGTAAAGAATCACTATCCACCTAATTTTCAAATTTTCCTAAAACTTTGCATTACCTTCAAAACATTATGATGCATTTTCATTAAACATGTTCAAATACACTTTGCAACTAGTTATAAACAGAAGTGGTGAGTTTTCAGATATTTTCAAGGTATTGACAGATATTTGGTTGCGAAGAAACTTGGGTAGAGTTTTAGTCCAACCTGTCTTTCACTGAGTAAAGAGTAAACGAATGAACCGACATCAAATTATCTAGATCACCGAATCAAGACCTCTTGTTTTTCTCTATGTATTAAATCTTCCCATCACTCTTTCAGGCTACTAACGTACAATAACATATTTCGGATTGAGGATCTGAGCTTCAACAATATGAACAAGTTGACCAAGCTGTGAGTATTAAAACGTTCATTTTAATAAAGTATGTCATGTTTACATTTAAATGGTGTTTATAGAATACCAATCACCTGGGGGAAATGCTGTATGGCTAGAATGTATAACATCAACTTCTACAAATAAATTGCATTCCATGGGTTAACGGTTGGGGAGTAGGAAGAAAATAAAGGATAACAAAATCCTCATTGTACGGAACCCAAGTCCCACTCTGTGCTCTCCCAATTCTATGCGAGCGTGAACGCTTGCGTCAACTAGTCAACTCAACAAGTCCTTTTACTGTTACTTGGAGTGTATTTCAAACTGTAATATGCCTTTCTAGAAGTAATATTTGAAGATCATATTTTGAATACAGGATAGCGACGTAGAACCTCATACATCAAGAGCAAAGCCTTTTTTAGTGATTGATACACTTAGTAATTGTAGTAGTAATATTAATACATGTAACATTTTTAACGCTTCCCATTTTCCTACAGGGATTTATCTCACAATATCATCGGTTCATTGTCAAATAATACCTTTACCGGTTTGAACAGTCTGACACAATTGTAAGTTTTAACAATCAAATTTATACACATTAGCTTAGTTTATTTCAGCTCATATATACATGCATAACTAGATTTTCCTCTCAATTGTCAATTTGTATATGTTGGAAAACATTTGCTTTTTCCAACAAACGATCACTCGCTCTTAGAAACATAAGAATTAAGCGCTTTTTACATAGGATGTATTATTATTATTATTGTTATCACTGTTTAGGGTACTAAAAAGACCCCCCAAAAAACAAAAAAAACAAAAACAAAAACTGGAGAAAAAAAACTGGGAAAAAAAAGAATAACAAAATAAAATGTTAAATTTCATACATCTTGTTATTGCGAAAAACATTGTGTTAAACGTAAATTCAAGACACGGTCTGAAAGTTCCTGGATTATCTACAGATTTTAACTTGTGATAAGGAATCAATGCGGGCGTAGAAAATAAAATATATTAATATTGTATATATCTAAAGTCCATTTAAGATTATGCATACAATTCAGGAATACATTTATGTTCTAGTGTCCATTTATTGGAAAATGTTTGGTCGCTACCGTCACCCCCACTTCAAAATCACATTTTAATCATAAAAACTATAATTCAAAAAATCATTAGTCATTTACACGTTATGGAGAAACATTCCATATTGCTGAAGAACTTCTTTCTCGGTTTTGTAGGACATTAACAAATAATGAAATATATCGGATTGAGGATTTCACTTTCAATCATTTGAACAAGTTGACTAAACTGTATGCCCATGCACCATACACTGTATAATCTGACTACGATCCGATTTTTGAAATATTTGCAACAGCGTGTTGATATTAACATTCAAACTTCGAAATTCTTAATGATCGATGATTTGAATAGTCATATAATTAATGAAATCAGAATGCCAGTGGATTTCACGTTCGTTGGAGAAGGAGTAGCTAAATCGGCTTAGAATCGTAGTGACGTCATAGTGACGTAGCGAACAGATTTGTTTTGAAAATATTGGTGAATTACCCCCCACAAAGATATGAAAACGATGTCGCATAATGCTGTCAGTAATATTCTTATCTTTTTTTCTCCACAGATATCTTAGTGACAACCAAATCTCCAACATTGCTATTGATGCTTTCAAAGGACTTCATACTCTGAGGTTTATGTAAGCATATCTCATGTTGATTCGACACTTAAAAGATATCATTATTTTGTTGAACCACCATTGTGCAATAGTTATAGGAAAAGAGGATCTTTCCAAAATCCTTTAACCATAAAAAGGCCGGGCTATTTGAGGCCTTAGTACAGCCGGGGGGGGGGATTATGGCTCCCCTTAAGATCTCGGCCGTGAAACGGCCGATCTCTGCGAAAATGTGCACGCGTGTCAAGTGAAGGGTATACAAACATTTGAAAAATTCACTCATTTGCATATTTATGGTAATTTATGCAAATAAGGTCATAGAAATGACATTTTTACCCATAAATGATATATTATTCATATTTAGGCATTCTTTTTCACTACGTATATTCATCAGACCATCATCATCATCAACTTCAGGTGGCGCTGTAAAGCAGGGCTCCCACTTAGCCGAGTTGTATTAGCGAGTTATGGGGAGTTGTGGTGAGTTGCCTCAAAGAGGCACTCGCAATAACTCGCGAAAAATTCGGTATGGCTTAGCGTAACTCTTTACAACATTCCACGACTCTCCTCGAAGTCGCGAGCAGTTCCAAAATTTGGAATATGTTCAAAAAAATTCCCCGATCCGTTGCAATTCGAGGTGAACTCGCCTACACTCGTAATATACACGCATTACTTGTAACAAGCTCGCGCTGCACTCTTCATAAGGTGGCGAGTTGCTACGAGTGTAAAGCAAGTTCACCTCGAGCTACAACGAATCAGCGAAAATTTTGAACATGTTCAAAATTTTCACTGATTCGTTGTTACTCGAGGTGAATTCGTTGTTACTCGAGGTGAACTCGCTTACACTAGTAATATACTCGCATTACTCGTAGCAAGCTCGCTCTGCACTCTTCATAAGGTGGCTAGTTGCTACGAGTTATGAAGAGTGCAGCGGGAGCTTGTTACAAGTAATGCGTGTATATTACGAGTGTAGGCGAGTTCACCTCGAATTGCAACGAATCGAGGAAATTTTTTGAACATGTTCCAAATTTTGGAACTGTTCGCGACTTCGAGGAGAGTCGTGGAATGTTGTAAAGAGTTACGCTAAGCCATACCAAATTATTCGCGAGTTATTGCGAGTGCCTCTTTGAGGCAACTCACCACAACTCCCCATAACTCGCTAATACAACTCGGCTAAGTGGGAGCCCTGCTTAAAGCGCTGCTGTGGTCTTCACGAGAGCACGCCATGCAACTCTTTCACCTGCCATTTGTGTTGCACCTTTCATTCCTTGTCCAGACACTTTCTTGATATCATCAGTCCAAGATATTGGTGGACAACCTCTACCCCGTTTTCCTTAGACTGCTCCTTGCAGTATTTGCTTCTCAACACCTTTAGATCTCCTAACAATGTGCCCAAAATAGTTTAGACCATTTGGAATAATAATACGACAACAAATTTGGAAGAGCGAGCTTATTCTTTATGTTATCTCTTGTTTTGATAATTTCTTATGTATATCGATGTTTGTTTAACATTTCTAACTACAATTTAACTATTTTGACTTCCAAAACAACCACCTAAACTTTAAACAAGACCCAATAACCAATGTTTAATCTATTTTTAGGAAAAATGACATTTCCTTATGTTTTGTACACAAATCACGAAAATGAGCGATTTTCGGGCTGACATGCAAAGACAAAAGGTCACGTGACCTTGAAACTGTAGGTCTGATTTTCAAAACAAATCTTTTAAAAGATGCGCAAGACTCGAAAGAAAAAAAGTCAGCGAGCGGTGGGGCGCGATCCATATGCGTTCCCGAACAATCAGAAAAATCGTGGAGGGGGGGGGGGGGCATATGCCCCCCCCCCCTCCACGATTTTTCTGATTGTTTAACTTATTAACCAACCCTATTAGGGTTAAACATATGGTTTAATTAAGATTTCGAAACCGCCCTATTCTGCTGTAGCTAATAGATGTTTGTGAAAACACTGGTACTCAGTCAGGCACAGCAAATGCCTCATTCGGAAGAACCAAAGGACAACCACCCCTGGACCATCAGGATACACAGATAACTATACGTTACCCCTTTTTTGAATTCCCCCTAGGTAAGTGACAGGGGTCAGGGGGAAAGTTGTCCTCGGGTAGTCGTCTTGATACCTTAGTCGTACAGACAAGACCGACAACAGATCGACAACAGACCGACAACAGACCGAAAGAAAATACTACATATGACGTCTATGGCCAATAGTCGGTCAGTTTGGAGTCGGTCTGAAGTCGGTTTGGCGGTGTGACCGAGATATGACACGATAAATACAGGTTACATTTCCGGCATACGCTGTATACGCTGTATGAAGTATTGGTGTACTTTTAAATGCTTTTTGGAAACTAAATATTGTAATATTGTCACCCTTTCTCTTTCATCAATAATCTCAGTTATTTCAATTATTTTACATCTATCAAATGATCATCAGTTGCTGCATGTGTTCTGACCTTTCTCGTCCCTTCATAGTGACCTGTCAAATAACTCAATCAGAGAGTTGAGGAAGGGAACGTTTGATGATCTATCGAATCTTCTCTGGTTGTAAGTTCATTCAATATTTTACTCTTCATTCTTTCCTACCCCACCACGAATTCTGTGTCTATGTTTTTCATAGGAATTCAATGCTAGGATATGAAATAATTATTATTTCATTTATTCTTTCGACAGGACATTTTGTGGGTGATGTCCACAGCAGATCTTTTCAATATTTCCCTTGTGATAAACGAAGACAGAAGAACTAGCAATGCGTGATTATCAATGATCTAGAAAGAATGTTGACCACAGGGAATTCGAAATAATGTAACGTTCCAAGTGATGATGACAATGATGGAGACGTTGACTGTTAGGATGATGGTGATGATAATGATAATGATTATGATAATTATCTTGCTTATTAAAACACTCAATGGCCCAAAATTTGAGTCTAGTGACTTAGCAATAAGTGAGATTGTAAATTCATTTGATCCAGACTGTTTTTGCACCTTTTCTCTTTCAGGATTCTTGATTACAACCTGCTGGAATACATCGAACCGGGGACTTTCCAAAATCTGAGTCGGCTAGTATATCTGTAAGTTTGTGGGCGTGGCACTGCTAGTTCGAAGTACTGTATAGATTTTGACTAGTTGGGTGCGTAACATTATACAAACATTGACTGCTTTGTGGGGCACGGTCAAAACTATTGCCTAATGTGATCTTTAAAATGTACTGTGATTCGAGACGCAGTAGAGGGGCATATTGTAGTCTCAACATCGCATTGGGCAACCAATTTTGGTATTAAAAATAAAATATTCGTGCTTGTTACCGACAGGGGCTAAAGTAAGAATATTTCCCCAATATTATCTATTGATCTAGAGTAATCGTAACGAAATATTTGCAGACGTCTAATCTTTGACCTCGTAGGCTATTGGTGTCATGTTCCACGCATCTCATGGGCTCCAGTCTCGTACGAATTAAGTTAAGTGGGAATGGGGTCTCAAGGACCTTTCACTAATTGCGGTCTGAAGTCGGTTTGGTGGTGTGACTGAGGTATGACATGATAAATACAGGTTCAACATTCCCAACGTCCGCCGTATGAAGTATTGGTGTACTTTTAAATGCTTTTATGAAAATAAATAATGAAATATCGTCACGCTTTCTTTTTCATCAATATTTTCAGTTATTTCAATAACTTTACATATATTAAATTATTGATTATCAGTTGCTGCGTGTGTTCCGACCTCTCTCGTCCCTTCATAGTGACCTGTTAAATATTGCAATCAGAGAATTGAGGAAGGGAGTGTTTGATGACCTATCGAATCTGCAGGTGTCCTCATTCCTTCCTACCTCTGCACGAGTTATGTATTCATGTTTTCATAGGAATTCATTGCTAGCATATGAAATACTTATTATTTAAATGATTCTTTCGACAGGACACTTTGTGGGCAATGTCCAAATCAGATTTTGTTAATATTTCACTTGTGATAAAATAAGACAGAAGATCCATATATTACTTTAAAAAGCGTGACGCTATACTTCGCTAGAGTAAGTTTTTATATAAAATAATCATGATAATTATCAGTGAATGACAAATTAACAAACTGTTCAAAGTGAATGCGTCGTTGATTATATTCGTGGTGTATCCACTCTAATATTGTTATATTATTTTTGAAGGAGTAATAATATACCACGGAATATAATGAGAGTATAAAATACAATGTAGTAACATATGTGATACATGATAATAATGATAATATATAAACATGATATTAAAAAAAGGAATAATCTATCACGCGATGAGGATTGAGGATTTAGTGATTTGAGCAAGTATACATCGAGTGTAATGTAGCTTCTTTGCTTCATTATGTTTAACAAAACAACTACACTATGTACTTCGGAATGGAAAAAAAACCCTTAGGGACTAATTTGGTATATATGGCCTACAGTGTTATGTTTTTTTTTATAAATCTAATGGGCCGTCGGTTTCATGGACGTCCATAATCACGGGCGCCCATAATCACGGGCGCTTGATCTTACGAAACTTTAATCTTGTTAAAAAAAATCTTATAATCAGGCATTTAATCCGTATTAACTTTTCGACCAAAAATAACTAATAAACTCGGACAGAAACTCAAACAGAAGAAGCGAACATTTATTGATATGGCTTTTTTTTTAATTCTGAATTATTTTTCATAATGATTTATTTATATCTTACTGAATAATCTGAATGGACTTAAAACCTCTGACACGAAAAGTTTTGCACAATACCGTTTAATTTTTTTTGTTGAATTACCCCCGCAAAGATGTGGAAACGATTTCGCATATTAAATGCTGTCAGCAATCTTTGTATCTTTTTTTTCCACAGATATTTTAGTGGCAACCAAATCTCCAACATTGCTATTGATGCTTTCAAAGGACTTCATACTCTGGAGGAAATGTAAGTTTATCTCATGTTGATTCAACACTTAAAATATATAAATATTTTGTTTAACCACTACTGTGCAATAGTTATAGGAAGAGAAGAACTTTTCCAAATATTTTAAATATATCGTTTAAAGAGAAGGTTGAGTTCTGGGAAGAGGTAAAAAATAATTTGTGAGCGTTATCATTGTTATTATGCAAGGGTGGAAGAACATCCGATTAAACATGTTCCCTGAAAAGCATGGCTCTTCAAATGCCTTCATATTCTAAATATGAAATGAAACATCGTAAAAATCGGGGGGTAGGTTTTTTCGCCATGTGCTCGTGTAGTCCCATATACATCATTCTGTGTACAGTGCTTGTAACTTTGCAAAAATTTGGCCAAATTTCTTATCATTTTGATGATTCCAGAACCTTGCAATACACACGAATACTTATATACTAGATGATCAGTCTTTTCTGATAGATTCCATACCGTTTCTTTCACAATGAATTCACATGACCAGAACTCAACTTTATCTTTAAAGAAGACATCGAAACCACCCTATTCTGCTGTACAGTAGCGAATAGATGTTTCTGAAAACACTGGAACTCAGTAAGTCACAGCAAAGGTATCATTCGACAGAACCTCTGGACAACCACCTCTGTACCATAATACCAAGATAACTACGTAACCCCTTATTGAATTACCTCTAGGTATGTGACAAAAAAAAGGGGGGCGGGGGTCCTCGGGTATTCGTCTTGATATCAAGTCATACCGACCAGACCGACAATAGAACGGCAATAGTCCGAATGACAATAATAATACGCCTATAGCCAATAATCGGTCAGTTTTGGAGTCGGTTTGAAGTCGCTTTTGACGGTATGACTGAGGTTTGACATGATAAATACAGGTTACATTCCCGCCGTATGACGTATTGGTGTACTTTTAAATGCTCTTTTGAAACAAAATAATGAAATAGTGTCACCCTTTCTCTTTCATCAATAATCTCAGTTATTTCAATTATTTTACATCTATCAAATGATTATCAGTTCCTGCATGTATTCTGACCTTTCTCGTCCCTTCATAGTGATCTGTCAAATAACTCAATCAGAGAGTTGAGGAAGGGAATGTTTGATGATCAATCGAATCTTGTGTGGTTGTAAGTTGATTCAATATTTTACTCCTCATTCTTTCCTACCCCCACCACGAATTCTGTGTCTATGTTTTTCATAGGAATTCAATGCTAGGATATGAAATAATTATTATTTCATTTATTATTTCGACAAGACATTCTGTGGGTAATGTCCACAGCAGATCTTTTCAATATTTTCCTTGTGATGAACGAAGACAGAAGAACTAGCAATGCGTGATTTATCAATGATCTAGAAAGATTGTTGACCACAGGGAATTCGAAATAATGTAACATTCCAAGTGATGATGACAATGATGGAGACGTTGATTGTTAGGATGATGATGATAATAATGATAATGATTATGATAATGATCTTGCTTATTAAAAACACTCAATGGCCCAAAATTTGAGTGTAGTGACGTACCAATAAGTGAGATTGTAAATTCATTTGATCCAGACTGTTCTTGCACCTTTTCTCTTTGAGGTCTTTCGATAACAACCTGCTGGAATACATCAAACCGGGGACTTTCCAGAATCTGAGTCGGCTAAAAACTCTGTAAGTTTGTGAGCTTGGCACTGCCAAATTGAAGTACTATTCAGATACTGACTAGTTGGCTGCGTAATATTATACAAACATTGACCGCTTTGAGGGGCACGGTTAAAACTATTGCCCAATGTGATCTTTAAAATGTACTGTGACCCGAGACGCAGTAGAGGGGCACATTGTAGTCTCAACATCGCATCGGGCAAACAATTTAGGTATAAAAAGAGAATATTCGTGCTTGTTACCGACAGGGGCTAAAGTAAGAATATTCCCCCAAATAGTATATATTTATCTAGAGTAATCGTAACGAAATTTTTGCAGACGTCTAATCCTTGACTTCGTAGGCTATTGGTGTCGTGTTCCACGCATCTCATGGGCTCCAGTCTCGTACAAATTAGGTTTTGTAAGAATGGGATCGTCTGAAGTCGGTTTGGCGGTGTGACTGAGGTATAACATGATAAATACAGGGTCAAAATTCCCAACGTACGCCGTATACGCCGTAAGAAGTATTGGTGTACTTTTAAATGCTTTTATGAAAATAAATAATGAAATATCGTCACCCTTTATTTTTCATAAATATTTTCAGTTATTTCAATTAATTTACATCAGTTCTATCAAGTGATTATCAGTTGCTGCATACATTCTGACCTTTCTCGTTCCTTCACAGTGACCTGTCAAATAATACAATAAGAGAATTGAGGAAGGGAATGTTTGATGATCAATCGAATCTTGAGTGGTTATAAGTTGATTCAATATTTTACTCCTCATTCCTTCCTACCCCAGTACGAATTATGCATTCATGTATTTTATAGGAATTTAATGCAAGAATAAAAAAAATTCAATTCATTCTTTCGACAGGTTTTTCACTTTGTACTCTCAAGTCTTTCATGGACGTCCATAATCGCGGGCGCTTTGGTCTTTTGAACCTTTAATCTTGCGGACCTTTTTTTTCTCATAATAGGCCATTTAGTCCGTATTAACCATTCGACCAAAATATAAATGACCCCTGCAAAGATGTGAAAACGATTTCCCATAATGCTGTTAGTAATCTTCTTATCTCTTTTTTTCCAAAGAGATCTTCAAGAAAACCAAATCTCCAACATTGATGTTGATGCTTTTAAAGGACTTCATACTCTGGAGTCAATGTAAGTATATCTCATGTTGATTCGACACTTAAACGAAATAAATAATTTCCTGAACCACCATTGTGCAGTAGTTATAGGAAAAGAAGTTCTTTCAAATATCCTTTAAATATATCGTTTAAAGAAGATATCGAAACCATCTTATTCTGTTGTAGCGAATATATGTTTCTGAAAACACTGGTACTCAGGCAGTAACAGCAAAGGTATCATCCGACAGAACCACAGGACAACCACCCCTGTTCTATGATAATACCCATATGACTACGTAACCCTTTATTGAATTACCCCTAGGTAAGTGACAGGGGGGGAAGTTGCCCTCGGGTAGTCGTCTTGATACCTTAGTCATACCGACCAGACCGAAAACAAACCGACAACAGACCAACAACAGACCGAAAGAAAATACTACTTGACGTCTATGGCCAATAATCGGTCAGTTTGGAGTCGATTTGAAGTCGGTTTGGCGGTGTGACTGAGGTATGACATGATAAATACAGGTTCAACATTCCCAACGTACGCCTGTACGCCGTATGAAGTATTGGTGTACTTTTAAATGCTTTGATGAAATTAAATAATGAAATATTGTCACCCTTTCTCTTTCATCAATAATCTCAGTTATTTCAATTATTTTACATCAGTTCTATCAAATGATTATCAGTTGCTGCATGTATTCTGACCTTTCTCGTTCCTTCACAGTGACCTGTCAAATAATACAATCAGAGAATTGAGGAAGGGAATGTTTGATGATCAATCGAATCTTATCGGGTTGTAAGTTGATTCAATATTTTACTCCTCAATCTTTCCTACCCCACCACGAATTTTGTGTCTATGTTTTTCATAGGAATTCATTACTAGAATATGAAATAATTATTATTTCATCTATTATTTCGACAAGACATTATGTGGGTAATGTCCACAGCAGATCTTTTCAATATTTCCATTGTGATCAAAGAAGAAAGAAGAAGTAGCAATGCGTGATTTATTATTGATCGAAAAAGAACGTTGATCACAGGGAATTCGAAATTATGTAACAATCCAAGTGATGATGACAATGATGGAGAAGTTGATTGTTAGGATGATGGTGATGATAATGATAATCATTATGATAATGATTTTGCTTATAAAAAATACGCAAAGGCCCAACATTTGAGTGTAGTGCCGTAGCAATAAGTGAGATTATAAAATCATTTGATCCAGACTGTTCTTGCACCTTTTATCTTTGAGGTCTTTCTCTAACAACCTGCTGGAATACATCGAACCGGGGACTTTCCAGAATCTGAGTCGGCTAAAATATCTGTAAGTGTGTGAGCGTGGCACTGCCAAATTGAAAGACTATACAGATACTGACTAGTTTGCTGCCTAATATTAATTATACACACATTGACTGCTTTGAGGGGCTTGGTTAAAACTATTGCCCAATGTGATCGTTAAAATGTACTGTGACCCGAGACGCAGTAGAGGGGCATATTGTAGTCTCGACATCGCATTGGGCAGCCAATTTCGGTATTAAAAAAAAAGAATATTCGTGCTTGTATACAGACAGGGGCTAAAGTATGAATATTTCCCCAAATATTATCTATTTATCTAGAGTAATCGTAACGAAATATTTGCAGACGTCTAATCTTTGATCTGGTAGGCTATTGGTGTCGTGTTCCACGCATCTCATGGGCTCCAGTCTCGTACGAATTAAGTTTTGTGGGAATGGGGTCTCATGGACCTTTCACTAATTGCGGTCTGAAGTCGGTTTGGTGGTGTGACTGAGGTATGACATGATAAATACAGGTTCAACATTCCCAACGTACGCCGTATACGCCGTATGAAGTATTGGTGTACTTTTAAATGCTTTTTTGAAAGTAAATAATGTAATATTGTCACCCTTTCTCTTTCATCAATAATCTCAGTTATTTCAATTATTATACATCAGTTCTATCAAATGATCATCAGTTGATGCATGTAGTCTGATCTTTCTCGTCCCTTCATAGTGACCTGTCATATAATACAATCAGAGAATTGAGGAAGGGAATGTTTGATGATCAATCGAATCTTATCGGGTTGTTAGTTGATTCAATATTTTACTCCTCATTCCTTCCTACCCCTGCACGAATCATGCATTCATGTGTTTTATAGGAATTTAATGCAAGAATATGAAATAACTTCATTTATTCTTTCGACAGGACATTTTCTGGGTAATGTCCACAGCAGATCTTTTCAATATTTCTCTTGAGATGCACGAAGACAGAAGAACTAGCAATGCGTGATTTATCAATGATCTAGAAAGAATGTTGATCAAAGGGAAATCGAAAGAATGTAACATTCCAAGTGATGATGACAATGATGGAGACGTTGATTGTTAGGATGATGATGATGATGATGATGATGATGATAATGGTTATGATTATGATCTTGCTTATTTAAAACACTCAATGGCCCAACATTTGAGTGTAGTGACGTAGCAATAAGAGAGATTGTAAAATCATTTGATCCAGACTTTTTTTGCCCCTTTTCTCTTAGGTCAATCTTTGGCAACTTGCTGGAATACATCGAACCGGGGACTTTCCAGAATCTGAGTCGGCTAGAATATCTGTAAGTTTGTGAGCCTGGCACTGCTAGTTCGGAGTACTTTACATATATTGACTGCTTAATTTGAAAGTGGGCATGGTTAATGTGATCCCGAAAATGTGTTGTGAGCCGAGACGCAGTAGATGGCCATAGTGCAGTCTCGACATCACGTTGGGCAACCAATGTCAGGTTACAAAAGGAATTTTGTGCTTTTTACCAACAATGGCTAAAGTTAGAACATTTCCCCTGATATTATCTATTTATCTAGAGTAATTATTGTAACGAAATATGTTCAGACTGTATCCTTTCCTATATGTATCTTTTTAATACACTTCTCCACTTACGTCACCACCTCGGGCTATCGCGATGCCTAAATTCCAGTGGCGACCAAGCAGGCTACAAATCGGTCTGGCGCTGCACTGAGTTGTGACCATAGCTTTAGTCATACCGACCAGACCGACAATAGACCGGCAATAGTCCGAAAGACAATAATAAAACGTCTGTAGCCAATAATCGGTCAGTTTGGAGTCGGTCTGAAGTCGGTTTGGTGGTATGACTGAGGTATAACATGATAAATACAGGTTACAATCTCGCCGTATGCCGTATGAAGTATTGGTTTACATTTAAATGCTTTTATGAAACTAAATAATTATATATTAATACCATTTCTCTTTCATTAATAAACCCAGTTATATCAAATGATTGATTATCAGTTGACGCATGTATTCTGACCTTTCTTGTACCTTCAGGGGCCTGACAAATAATTCAATCAGAGAATTGAGGAAGGGAACGTTTGATGATCAATCGAATCTTGTGTGGTTGTAAGTTGATTCAATATTTACTCCTCAATCCTTCCTACCCCAGCACGAATTATGTGTTAATGTTTTTCATAGGATATACTGCTAGAACATTAAGTATTATTAAAAATATTCCTCCAACAGGGCGCTTGGTGGCAATGATCACAGCATCTTTTCAATATTTCCCTTGTGATAAAAGAAGATAGAAGAACTAGCAATAAGTGAGTTATCAGTGATCTAGAAGGAATGTTGACCACAGAGAATTCGATAGAATGTAACATTCCAAGTGATGATGACGGTGATAATGATGTTAATAATTACGATATTGCTTATTCTCGTAGGCTATCGGTGTCATGTTCCATGCATCTCATGGGCTCCGATCTCGTACGAATCTAGTTTTGTGGGAAAGGGGTCCCATGGACCGGTCACTTATTGCACCTGTCTCATGGTGAGTCATGGGTCTTGGGTCTCATGAACTAATTTGGTATATCGTGCCTATAGTGTTATGGGCTTTTGATCCAATGGGCCTTGGGTTTCATGGACGTCCATAATCATGGCGCTTGGTCTTATGAACCTTTAATCTTGCGAACCTTTTGTCTTATAAACGGGCATTTAATCCGTATTAACTATTCGACCCCAAAACAAAGACACCAGGACAAAAACTATTTAAAAAAAAGAAGCGAATATTCATTAACGATTTCTTTTTAAGATTCTAAATCAGTTCTCTTCATGATTTATTTATTATCTAGAAAGAATGTTAACCGCAGGGAATTCGATAGAATGTAATATTCCGAGTGGTGATGACGATGATATTGATGTTGATGGAGAGGATGATGATGATGATAATGGTTATGTTAATAATATTGCTTATCAAAAACACTCATTGGCCCAAAATTTGAATGTAGTGACGAAACAATAAGTGAGATTGTAAAATCATTTGATCCAGACTGTTTTTGCCCGTTTTTTTCAGGGATTTATCTTTCAACCCGCTGGAATACATCGAACCGGGGACTTTCAGGAATCTGAGTCGGCTAGGAACTCTGTGAGTTTGTGAGCGTGGCACTGCTAATTCGAAATACTATACAGATACTGACTAGTTGGATGCGTAATATTATACAAACATTGACTGCTTCGAGGGGCTTGGTTAAAACTAAAGCCCAATGTGATCTCGAAAATGTACTGTGACTCGAGACGCAGTAGAGGGGCATAGTGCAGTCTCGACATCACCGAGGCAGGCACATAGCCACGGGGGGGGGGGGGGGGGGGGGGGGGGGGCCCAAAAAAAATCCACGATCGGTTGAACTTTTTTAGACCCCTTTTTTAAACCTCGATCGATTACATGTATGTGCCCCTCCAAACATCAAACTCTGGCTACGTGCCTGCACCGAGGAGCTATAATTTTACCCGCCCGAAACTAAGCAGTCAATATTTGTTTTATATAGCTTTGAAAGGCACTATACGTAAAGAAGAGAACCTATTCAGACGGGAAAATTAGATGGCAGCCTTTCTGCTTATTCCCATTTATACAATCATTTTGTTGCAGTTCGATGTTAGTTCTTCATGATAAGCCAATTGCTCTTCTTCCGGTGGCTCCGTGAGTCCTTTAAAGCATATCTGTACTAGTTTATAGGAGGGATCAACTCAGCTCTCAATTAATATAAGAAAAAGGGGATCATGGGGGACCAATGGTCACTGATTAGGCATTTTTTTGTTATATAGAGGGAGCAAGTAGCTACAAGTAGGACAGTGTGGCTTAAAGTCAGTGAAAACAAAGTACTCGAATGAGACGGGGTGTTTTACACACTAACATATATATATATATATATATATATATATATATATATATAGTAAAGTTACATACACTAAACTGAAGGAAAGAAACCTATAGAAAACGGACTGGATATTATTGAAAATACTATTCTAAACCAGAATGTACTACATGTACTACATTACGTTACAATTTCACGAGAGAAATAGAACTCGAGAGGGGGAGGATAGAAGAAGTGATGAAAATGAAAGAAGACTAATAGCATGAGAGGAAAGAAAAGAGCAAAGAAGACAAGAAAAGGGTGTAAAAAGGAAAAGGAGCATTATTGGAGAGAGAGAGAGAGATAGCCTTGAGCTTTGGATCAGCAAATGAGTAATACATGAAACAGATTTTGAGCGGAGTAATTATCTTTCGCCGGAGAACGTGCATAAGGAGCTATATCTTGATTATTTTTGTTAAATCAAACATTATGGGGAATAGCAAAAAACGGATGAGCATTTATTGCACTATATTGCCAGAGGAGCATTCATGTCTTCCACGAGGCCGCACTTTTGGATCAGAGAGCAATTTTATTGTCGGCGGAGCATTGTCTTTTACGGGGTACTGTTGGGGAGGAGCAACAATTGTCGTAGTAGCCTTTGTATTTTACGAGGCACTTTTTGAACGAAGAAAATGTCGGCGGAGCAATTGTCGGCGGAGCAAATGTCACCGGATCAAGTGTCGCTTCAGGCAGAGCAACTGTCGGCGGAGCAACTGTCGCGGAGCAATTGTTGCGTTTTGCGGAGTAAATGTCGGCGGAGCAATCGTCGGCGGAGCATGTGTCGGGTTACCTATGACCCTTGTTCTATCCTGATCAGGTTCGTGGTTATGGGGCGTCGCCGCCATAACTCCCCAATATTGGGGGGGGGGGGCATTCGTTGTTATTGCCCCACTGCATGCTTCGGATCGTTGTCTCTCGCACTGCCATCTAATTTTCCCGTCTGAATGGGTTCTCTTCTTTACGTATACCCTTCAAAGCTTATTTTGATCCGTCCCCTGTTGTTTTCTAGAATTTCCATGATGACCTAGTACATTGTATAAATGCTTTATTTGCAGAGGGTTTACCTACACAGTAAGAAAGAATGGTGCAACTATGCACCTTTAGGGGTTCAAACCGATGCAACAATAGCAACACCTTTAGGGGTTAAATCCTGCACCCTTTTTAAAGGTGCAATCCTGCACCCTTCAAAAGGGTGCCAGATTGAACCTTTTGGGGGAAATGTTAGTACCCTTTATGGTTCAATCCTGCACCTTTAGGGGTGCAAACCGATGCAACAATAGCAGCACCTTTAGGGGTTAAATCCTGCACCCTTTAGGAGGGTGCCAGAATGCACCTTTTAGGAGACATGTTAGTACCCTTAATGGTTCAATCCTGCTCCTTTAGGGGTGCAAACCGATGCAATAGCAGCACCTTAAGGGGTTCAATCCTGCACCCTTTAAAAGGTGCAATCCTGCACCCATCATCGAGGAATACTCGTGACATTTGCTCGTACACATATACATATTAAACATGCATGATGTTTCTTGGTTAGTAATCATATAATCAATAAACATATTGCTAAAACGTGAATGTAATTGTAACATGATCAGACAAAATAATCTATTGGTTAATGATTGCCGAAGGAAAATAAAAATCACATAATTGATGTGCATTGTCATAATTTGCTTAACAAATCATATGATAAATGTATTTTTATGTGAACACGTGGAAAGTAATCATGAATATGCATGCGATATGCAAACATTTATTTTGCACCTTTTTGGGTTGTTAGGGTTCATTTTTGTGGGAAGGGTGCAAAATCTTATATTGCACCCTTTTTTGAACCCCTTTTCCTTTAATAGGGTTCATTTTTATGTAAAGGGTACAAACTCTTATTTTGCACCCTTTTTTCTTAGAGTGTAGTAAGATGCATGTGCTTGCTTGCATTGAGGTCATTTCACGTCTTACATATTGACGAGCTGTTTGAAATTAACTAGGAGGTACGGTATGCGCGTATTGGGTAATGTGGCGTGCTGCTCTACTTTAAAAAAAAATTCCCATGACATGTAATGAGTGTTTAGTATACAAATAGTGAATGGCCATGAGTGCAATGAAACAAGATTTTGCACGAGGTGAAAGATAAGAGACGAGTTGAATGGAGCGTCTCATCTTTCACCGAATGCAAAATATTGTTCCATTGCACGAATAAAGACCATTCACTATTTGTTTTATACAACACCTCGGACATTCACGAGATTAAAACAATTTTTGTTTAAAGAACAGTTTTTCTAAGCCTAAATCTCAGCGATTAAAAAAAAAATTGTATTGATTAAATTGCCGATAGTGTGCGCGCACTATTATTAAGCAGGCAGTAAACCATGCGCGCACCATAGGCGTACCACGCTTTATGCTATTTGTTACGCGGAGTGCAATTTCTGTTGATTCATTCGCACCATTGCACAGTGACTTCACTTAGCTCACAATATACTGTGTACATCGTTAGTGACGTCAGAGTGCAATGGTGCGAAACGATCAACTGGAGTTGCACGGCTGGAGGGTGATGCCGTTCAATGGTACTTTTAGCGCATGTCATGTGGTCTAGAATTGACCATTAAGGTCGCAAGAATCTTAGTAGGCGTGTATAATGTACATTATACAATACCTACGTTGATCCTTATCATTTGATTGGAGAATTGTTGGTCACATGATATTCAATATATGTTATATTGCACGGTCGTGCATTTTTGGTTATATGTACCGTGCATTTTTGGTTATATGCAGACTGCGTACCTCTCTGCCGTGCGCGCGCGTATCCCTGCGTGTATCTGACGCGAAGGCAATCTGAATGTAATCGAGAAGGCTCGACTCCAACTTTAATTTATCTTTAATATGAGGAGTAAAGCATAATTTGTTGATTAATGTTCTATTAGATCTTCTTCGATGTTGTATAAAACAAACAATGAATGTTTTTCATTCGTTCAATGGTGCGAATATTTTCATTCGTTGAAAGATTAACGTTAATTCTATTCAACTCGGCTGACGCCTCGTTGAATAGAATGTTAATCTTTCAAGTCATGAAAATAGTCGCACTATTGAACTCATAACCATTCATTATTTGTATATTATATGGGACGTACAGTGATAGATGGAAAGTTATTTCAGTATATTCGAAATGACTTTTAGGTAACTCCTTTTTCCTCAAACATCATCAACATTCATTCATTTCATTTCATCTACATTTTTTCATGAAATGCATTCAGAAAATGAAAAAAAGAAAAGAAACGAAAATAACCCGTGAAAAAAAAATATTGTCGGCGAAGCATTTGTCGTAGTACTAGTAGCATTTGTATTTTATGGGACACTTTTTGGGCGGAGCAAATGTCGTCGGATCAAATGTCACCGGAGCAAGTGTCGCTTCATGCGGAGCAATTGTCGGAGGAGCAAAAGTCGGCGGAGCAAATGTCGGCGGAGCAACTGTCGTTCGAGGAGCATTTGTCACCGGAGCATTTATCGCTTCATGCGGAGCAATTGGTGGCGGAGCAATTGTCGGCGGAGCAGTTGTCGGCGGAGCAAATGTCGGCTGAGCAACTGTCGTTCGAGGAGCATTTGTCACCGGAACATTTATCGGTTCATGCGGAGCAATTGGCGGCGGAGCAATTGTCGGCGGAGCAAATGTCGGCGGAGGAACTGTCGTTCGAGGAGCATTTGTCACCGGAGCGTTTATCGCTTCATGCGGAGCAATTGGCGGTGGAGCAATTTATGGCGGAGCAATTGTCGGCGGAACATCTGTCGGCGGAGCAAATGTCGGCTGAGCAACTGTCGTTCGAGGAGCATTTGTCACCGGAACATTTATCGGTTCATGCGGAGCAATTGGCGGCGAAGCAATTGTCGGCGGAGCAAATGTCGGCGGAGCAACTGTCGTTCGAGGAGCATTTGTCACCGGAGCGTTTATCGCTTCATGCGGAGCAATTGGCGGTGGAGCAATTTATGGCGGAGCAATTGTCGGCGGAACATCTGTCGGCGGAGCAGTTGTCGGCGGAGCAAATGTCGGCTGAGCAACTGTCGTTCGAGGAGCATTTGTCACCGGAGCGTTTATCGCTTCATGCGGAGCAATTGTCGGCGGAGCAAATGTCGGCGGAGCAATTGTCGTTCGAGGAGCATTTGTCACCGGAGCGTTTATCGCTTCATGCGGAGCAATTGGTGGTGGAGCAATTGTCGGCGGAGCAATTGTCGGCGGAACATCTGTCGGCGGAGCAAAT